ATATAAATTTACACACATTTACACAAGTAAATACATAGACTCGATAGGCTAAAAATCTGTGGATTTTTGCATTCTGTGTGGGCCTAGCCTATTTTAAAATGAGTAAAACATAGGGAAGTCGGTGTAACAGAATGACAATTGGAGGCTTAGAATCTGACTTTTCCAATGAAATGTAAGTATAGTATTTTTCTGTAGTCAATTACTGTAATATTTATGAATAAAGTTAAAAATTAAAAAAGGCTTAAAATAAAATAAATGCAAATTCTAAAATCATACAAACATACATAGGCTAAATACAAACATGCATGTATAAATAAATAAATAAAAAAAATGATAATAAATAAATAAAAGAAAGGCACAGTCTGCACAATGTTCATTGTTCCGAGCCTGTTTTGTGGGTGTCATTGCATGAAAAGTGCAAAGAAATCTTGTTGAGATTTTAACCTTTACACTCTTCATCCCTGTGAAAGGGTCACTCCAAAAGATAAATCCAATAACAGATTATTCAAATGCAGCTTGGTAATGATAATATATGTAAAAAAGTTAAATGCAGGGATCCTCCTCTATTTGACACTACCATTTTAGCTCCTGTCATTTCTCTTTTTATTATTATTATTATTATTATTATTTGTCATTTTAATAATTTTCTTTATACAGAATAGAAACAAACTCTTATTGTTTCTCATATTTTTCAATCAGAGGATCATTTTGAAGTTAAGCATAGCTCTATTAACATGCTGCCAGCAATCTAAAAAGTTGTCGACTGTAGTTTTTCAACAAGTGACATCTGAATATTATGTTTGGTCTAGATTCAAAATCTGAAAAAATACTCAACTTAAGCAATTAGTCTACTTTTAGTGTAATGTCAAATAAAAGTTGGTGTTTTAGTTTAGACTGCTTTTGACACAGTTAGTCGCAATTTACTTATTCAGTGATCTGGTGCTTTATGATGTAACTTAAATAGAGATCAATGTGTAAAAAACAAAAAGGGTTTATCTTAGTAATTAAATTTGTACTTTATACGCCAAGGATCAGTGTAAGGCCCGTAAATACGTAGTTTTTTTAAAGACAAAATGCAAATGTATGCTAAAAATTCAGTTATTTTACACAAGTGAACAGCAGGGTTAGCAACAGAGAGGTTTATAGTCAAAGCCACAATGTCTTGCAAAATAGTAAAACAAAAGCAATGTTTTTTTTTTCTTACAACTTTAGACTTTTTTTTCTCTCCGTTGAACAGAAATTGAGTAAAAAAAATAAACAGGGGGGCTAATAATTTTGATTTCAACGGTACATGTTTGTTGTTTTATGTTTTATGTTATTGTTTATCTTGAAAGGAACCACAGTAAAATGCATGAAATGTAAAATTTATATTAGAATTGTGCATGGCCCCTAACAAAACTTTTAACAAGTAAATAGGATAATAATTAACATTTAATTGTTACCAACTCATTCTACTTTACATCTACATGCATAAATGCATTTTATGAAACCAGATCAAATCAATAAAAAGTTGATACAGTTTTTGTCAATACCAATACCACAGCGGAGAAGTCAAGGTTTTAAAACCACCAAATCTTTCTGCTATACCGTTCCTAATGTATGTGTAAGATGTTTTAATTTACATTTTTTTAGGACAACAGTATCTCTAGCAGAAAAGATATTAAATTGTAAAGAAATCTGTGTTTTTGAACAGATATTTCCAAATACCACAGTGTTCCAAAATATTATAAATCTTTCTGAAAATAAATATATTGCGTTTTTACCCAGACATTTAAAAAGAGCCAATTTTGGAGCAGTAATCACAAACTGTGAATTTTTTGCAAGGTTATCATACCATCAAAATCTTACACCAGCCCATGCCTATTTGTTGCAGTAGTTGCAGATATTCTTGTGTTCTCGGTAAAGTGCCATGGGAAGTATTGATATTTATAAATGACTTTCACGTTGGGAAATTCGATGTTAAAATAAAGCCATATTACCAGATAAAGCTCCTCATTAACAAACTGTACTTAGATGGCTCATAAAAAGTAAATAAATTAGGTTAAATTTACACCGAACACAATTACATAAAATGTCATAATAAAGTTACTTTAACTTAATTTAGAGAGTTAATCAGGTTTCAACTTAAATGGATTCAACTTAAAAATTTAAGTGAGTAACATATTTTTTTACAGCGTAGAAAAAAAAAGGTTTACCTGCTGCCTTAAAATGTGGACAAACTTCAGAAACCATGAGTAAACTTAAACTAAAGCATGTTTTTGAAAATGTATAAACGTAAATTTTAAGTCTAAAACTTGTTGCAAGCTAAAAGTATCCTTAATACTGTTTTACTACAAAAGCCTAAACATCTGTATTGTACAATAAAATAATACTATATAGCATAAAACAATATATTCCCTTAAATGAGCGTTTTATAAATAATGCTTTTTTACTTTATATTAAAGACTCTTACCTTTTTGTTCTAATAAAGCTGCCATTGGATGGAAATGTGAAAGCTGAAAATGCGCCATCATATACAGTAAAGACGCTCACTGCAGGACAGATGAATGCTTTATGAGCACATGCCACAACATTTCATTTCCGCAGAGCTGTTGTTTTCAGTAATTTTCCAACGGACGTCAGAAAAATGGGCTAATCTTGTGTTCATGAACTGTAGATCTATTCTCACTGCTATTTGATAGCCCTCAGTGAAATGTATTCATAAATATAGAAGATGAAAATATGAACACTGAAAGTCCCCACCTCAGAGTTTCGAGCAGAGCAGGCCACAAGGCCTTTTATGTAACATGTTGTTTTTGAAGAACTGAAATAGGTAATGTGATCTGTGCAAAATGTCAGAGACGTGCAATTTAACACATTGTTCAAATCACTAAATCAACCAGCAACATGATTTCGATAAAAAAAGTGTAAAGTAATTTATTAAAGACAGTTTTGTTATATCTTTTAGTTAGTTGCTATAAGGTTCATATTGGTGTTCGATCAAATATTACACTTTTTTCTGTATCAATTTTTTTAAATAGACATTTTCATTGTCATTTTTACTAATGAATAAAATTAAAGAAGAAGTAGTTCACTTCCAGAATGAAAATCTGCCATCATTTATTCTCCCTTCGATTAAAAATCTGTATGAGGTTTTTTTTCTTCTGTTGAACGTAAAGGATGACATTGTGAAAAATCTTGTTATCCAAACAGTTGAAGGTTACCACTGACTTCTAATAAAAAAAAATACTAGACAGCCAATGGTTGTTATCATCATGTACAATGGTGAATATCAATTGTGAAAGTGAAGGACTTGGATGACAAGAGTAAATTATCAAGTTTTTTTATTCTGAGTGAATTATTCTGGTAAGCTTTTGGATGTTTCGTTTAAATAGTTAATTTATACAGGTAAAACGCCTGTGAGAAATCAATAAATTATATGGTGAGGTCCACTTTCCTAGTTGTGTGCACACTTTTGTTTAGTATTTACACTTACAGTATTTTGTGTTCACCACAGATATGCTTAGTATGTACAGAAGTAAGAGCGATCCCTGTACACTTTTAAAAAATGCTGAGTTCCACAAAATCGATTTGTGTTAATACAAAATGAAGGAATTCAGTTAACTTATACGTTTTTACTAATTTAAGTGGACTAAATATATAAAATAATTAAATTGTCTCAAAAACAAGAATTGTGTTGTGTCAGCTCATTTTAAATAAGTAGTTTGAACAAACAGCAAATGTATTTTTAAAGTGTAGGCGTTACATTACATAATGTTTTAAATGCACTTTTATTAAATGAAATCAAATCTGATTTAGAAATAAAGCTTGTGTTATATAATCTGAAATAATATCAACACCAAAACTTGAGCAAGATTAATCTGAAATGTGCTTTTACTTTAACATCAATCAATAAGCTTTGACTGAGATATGCAGTAAATGTGATGCTTGTGTTGTAAACTTATAGCAAACATTACATTGTGCTAGAAACTTAGCAATATAGGTTAGAGAGATATATTTCATTAATAAAATATATAGCAGAAATCATTAATAAATATACATTATATATCATTAATAAAATCTGTTGTGTTCAAAGTTTGAAATAAGTAAGAGAAAAGTTAAGGGTTTTTAAATGCACAACACGAAGCACATTTAAAATACTTGAACATATGGCAAACTGTTGAATATTCCCTCACTCCCTGGTCATTTTCTATGGTCTAGGCAAGTAAAAACTAATTTGTTTGACAATTTTTTTGTCAGTTATGACATGTTAGATTTTCTAGTCCCCGTATTGAATCCGCAGTCACCGGCAGACAGAGAGAATGTACACACATGAGAGAGAGAGGTTGTGCAAGTACATTAAAATGGCTCATATTGTCCTCATTCTGCAATGTGGAAGTAAGCTATTTTCTGGGATTGTTTTAGAACTTCTGATTCATTTGTCGATGGGGAAATGACTTGGACTAACAATGGTCAAACTATGTGCTCTACAGACAGTTGTGTGTACAAATATAAAATAATACTGTCTAATAAGAAAATACAAGTTTGTACATCATAACGAGTTGTTGATTTTTCAGCTAGAAATTTAAATAATTTAAATTTCAATTTAAATAAATAACACCCTAAGACTAAAAGACTCCAATGAATAGAGCTGCAGGTTTATTGTAAAAATCACGATGTATAACATGTACAAAATGTGTAAATTTACATTATTGGTCAAAAGTTTGGGGTCAGTACGATTTTTAAATGTTTTAAAATAAACGTATGCTCACCAAGGCTGCATTTATTCAATCAAAAATACAATACAAATTGTAAAATTGTGAAATATTATTGCACTATTAAATAACTGTTCAAAAGTAGTTTATCATTTATTAAAAATTGTATTTAATTTAATTGAATTTGATTTTAAATATGAGTTTTTACCGTCATTACTCCAGTCTTCAGAGTCACATGATCCTTCAGAAATCACTCTAACATTAATTATTATTATTATTGGCAACAGTAATAAAAGCAATAATGACTGGGTTAATAACTTTTTATTTGAAACTACATGTTTAGCAAAAATTGTATATGTACTTGCAGTATTCAAAATTACTTGATCAATTGGGTCAAATATAAGATATTCAGTATACAAGAAGCCAAGCTAAATGCAAAGACCACAAGTGTGAATACTGGGACAGGTCCAGTCTCTAAAACTACAAGAATTGCTTATCTCAAATAAACTTTAAGCAAAACATGTTTATGAACTCATTAGAAAAAAAAATACAAGCATTAAATACAGTGGTTTCAATTATTTTACTGCATTCTATTGTCATGGATGTTAGCTTGCTTGCTTATTTTAATATTGTTCAGGTTCATGAATATTTGTTGAGTATATGCTGTTCAGTTAGGCTGATCACATAGCGGGATATCAAACCCTGCAAGAAAAGGATTCTTTGTCAGTGTATTTAATAAATACACTTGATCAAGTACAAAAGTTACACATTCTTTAAGGACCTATAATGAATATTACTTACCTCCTGACATTTCTGAATAACAGACAAATGACTTGCAGTTCAGTTCAACTACAAAATACAAAAAAAGGCATTTGGCATCTGATCAATTCATAAAACTGCATAAATATGAAAAAAAAAAGTATTTCATGCTTCCAACGTTCCAACACTTAACATCAGGATGCAATGATATGCCTTTAATTTCATATCTCAATCAAACAAGACATAAATAATAACTATAAACAAATGTATTTATGTTTAAATATGTTATGTTAAATGTCTGACAGCTTGTATACTCATATAACAGCACATCTTATACATGTACATGGACAACAGTAAAAAGCAACTACAAAATATGGTACAGCTGGTCAGAGTTTTGGTTTGAATAACCTTTTTCCAGAGTTTTTTATTTATTTTTTTAAGACTAAAGCAATCTTCCCCTACAATATACTGCTAAACAACAGTGTTAAGATTTTCAGTTGTGGACTTACTCTGGCTGTTGATTTTGTTGCTTCGGGTTTTGAAATAAAGAATCACACATGTTATTGTGGCCATCACCACTACTGTCAGATTAGTTATCATTGACACGAGTGCAGCACTGTTGCCTTTCAGTAGACCAACAGGACTCTCAGAAGGGGTTGAAGGATCTGCAATAATAAGAAAAACTTAAATAAACATTATCTAAATCTGAATGATTAAGGGTTGGTTTCACAGACAGGGCTTAGACTAGCCAGGATTAGGCCATGGTTCAATTAGGACATTTAGGTAATTTTTTATAAACATACTTAGAAAAAAATAAAACATTACTGGTGTGTATCTTGAAACAAAACAAAGGCACTGATGAATTTAAAAATCAATCAGTGCAATTTTATTTTAGTTAAAACAGCTCAAACTTACATTTTAGTCTAGGACTAGGCTTAAGCCTTGTCTGTGGAACCGGGGGTATATTTTTTTATCTTACAATTACCTAATTGTGCTGTGGAAAATGTTGTCACGGAATGCAATGTCTTCTCTATAATACAATTACAAACAATGGTTACAGTTTGAAAAGCATCTGATATTGCAGCAAATATTTAGACACATTTTATCCCAAAATGACCTGGTGCTGTGGAAAATGTTGTCACTGTTGTCAATGAATGAAACGTCTCATCTAGAATAAAATCACAAACAATTGTTACAGTTTGAAAAGCATCTGAAATTTCAGCAGATATTTAGAAAGAAAAACAGATGTTAACCTACGTTTTTTAAGCTAGTATGAAAACATTACCCTTCAACAAGACTGTTTAAATATTCACAGACATGTTAACATTATCATATTAGTTAAAAAAAAAAAAAAACTTACAGTAACTACACATTTTATTGGTGGCTCAGTGGTTAACACTGTTACCTTACAGCAAGCTTGGTTGCTTGTTCAACAGGAGCTGCTGGTTCAACAGGAGGCATTTTTTTTTGTGGAGTTTGCATGTACTCTCTACAGACGTGGTATCGGAGGATTGGGTAAACTAAATTGGCCGTAGTGAATTAGTGTTTGTGTGAATGAGAGAGTGTGTTGGTGTTTCCCAGGACTGGGATGTGGCTGGAAAGACAACCGCTGCATAAAACATATACACCAGAGTAATTGGTGCTGCTGGTTTATTTCGCTGTCACGACCCCTGATAAAGCAGAGACTAATCTGAAAGATACTGAGTGAATGAACAATATGCGTTATTCTAAAAAAACGCTAAGTCATCTTATGAGTTTCAAGTCGCAATGGGTTTACTCATATTTATTCAAAGTTAACTTGTGACCTTTAAAGTAATAGTTTACCCAAAATAAAAAATTCTATTGTCATTTACACATGCTGTTCTGCCTGTAGTATTTGTTTTTCTTACTAGCAATGTCAATAGTTAAAGGTTTCCAACATTCGTCAATATTTCTCCTTTAGTGTTCAACAAAACAAGGGTGAGTAAATTATGGCAATTTTCATTTTGGGTGGAAATAGGTTTACAAAAATATTACACTGAAACACACCTTTGATCAGCAGCTTCACTTTACAGCAGGTTTTCTCATTCACTCTGCACTGATACCACTGTTCATCAGCCTTTACTGCATCTCTTATAAGCAGAGATCCATTTTCTAGTTGTTTCGCTCTCTCATACAGAGGCTTTGAGAGTTTCTCTGTGCTGCTTGAGGTCTTGGATAGAGAGTAATATTGTGTTATATCTGTTGACTCGTGACCTTCAATGACTTTCCAAGTGACTTGAACAGCTGTGTTTTGTTGAGGATGTTCAGAGCATGGCAGCAGCACAGCAGAGCCTAATGTTGCAGAGACAGGCTCCAACGTTTTACACTCTGAAAACAGAGAAACTAAATTAAATAACACAACTTGGGATCATTTGTTTGTTTCAGAAATATTATTCTCACCTTTGACTGTCAGGATAAATCGAGTTGCGTTAAGGCAGTCCTGATCTTTGTAAACCTGACACTCATAAAGGCCTTCATCTGATAATCTGATGTCTTTCAGATCAAGTCTAACATTTCCAGCATGCTTCCTCACAGACCATCTCTGGTGCTCTGATGCTGGAGAGATGTCAGGATAGATCAGGATGTCTTTAACTGGGTTATTCTTGCGTAGTTTCACCATTAGAGACTCCAGCGGGTGTGTTGTGGTTAAACAAGAAATATACATGTTGTTATGCTGAACACAGCTTATGTTCAACTCATGAAGCTTTTCACAGGGTCTCCTCATCGCCACTAAATAAATAAATAAATAAATAAATAAATAATAATAACACAAAACATGACATACTTAAAGAATTATATAAAAAATTACTTGTTTTTAATAACTGGTTTCTTTTGGAAACCAAAAACTGGAATGAGGCTTAAATTTGATTTGAATGTGTAATAGGACAGTAGTTTGACAGGGAGCAAAGTTTTATAGAAATTAAGAGAGAGAAAAAGAGAGAGACGGGATAGAATGGAATCAAATTGGGAAAGGTCTGCGAGACATAAACTCAGGATGCCCAAAGCACAGTTGTGCCACATGTCACCATACTACCCACCAGGCTATTATACTGACAAATTAAGATATTTTAAAATGAAAATCAAGAGCTCTCTGACTCATAGATGTCAAGAGTCACAGGACTTTATTCAACAGTTTCCTCTGTTTGGTCTTTACTCCAGATTCATGTACACAACTTTCTCTGCACAGCATATCACTCATGAATGCACAGACTGAGCTGATAATGAAACGAAGAAATTGTTGAATAAAGTCATTTTTATGTTCAAAAAATTATACTAGTAGCTTCGTAACATTACGAATTAACCTCTGAGAACACATGGACTGTTTAAAGGCATTTTGGTACCTTTCTGAACTGCAACTCTTTCTGTAAATTCAAGGGGCCTCAGAGCTCTTGGATTTCATCTAAAATATCTTTATGTGTTATAAAGATCTCAGAGGTTTTGTGGGGATGAGTTTTCATTTTTGGGTGAACTGTTTGTGTCAAGGAATAATAGTGTTGTTAGAAATGTTGTCGTTGAATGATTTTATTTCAGACATCATTAAATAGAGTAAGTGAAAAAAATGTCCTAAAATTGTACATAATAAAAAAAATTCAACTGTTCTGTAAAAACAGTATCACTTTTGTTTTTATGCAGTTGGTTTAATATTATTAGTGTTGCTTAATTAGATTGAACAAAATGTGAAATTATTTTAAAACGCACCTTTGATTACCAGCTTCACTTCATAGCAGGTTTTTTCATTCACTCTGCATCGATACCACAGATCATCAGCCTTTACTGAATCTCTAATAAACAGAGAACCATTCTCTAGTTGTCTCGCTCTCTCAAACAGAGGGTTTGAGAGTTTTTCTGTGCTGTTTGAGGTTGTGGATGATGAGCGATATTTTGTTATATCTGTTGACCCGTGACCTTCAATGACTTTCCAAGTGACTTTATCAGTTGTGTTTCGTTGAGGATGTTCAGAGCATGGCAGCAGCACTGCAGAGCCTGATACTGCAGTGACAGACTTCATTTTTGTACAGTCTAAAACCAAAGAAACACAGTACATGTTTATGACTCTATAATAGGGATTATTTGCTTGTTTGAAGAATGTGTATTCTCACCTTTGACTGTCAGGGTAAATCGAGTTGCGTTAAGGCAGTCTTGATCTTTGTAGACCTCACAGTCATAAAGGCCTTCATCTGTTTGTTGGATGTCTTTCAGATTAAGTCTGATATTACCAGCATGTTTACTCACAGACCATTTCTGGTGCTCTGATGCTGGCGAGATCAAGATGTCTTTAACTGGGTTATTCTTGCGTAGTTTCACTGTTAGAGTTTCCAGCAGGTGGGTTGTGGTTAAACAAGAAATGGACATGCTGTCACGCTGAACACGGCTTATGTTCAACTGATGAGGCTGTTCACAGGGTCTTTGAGCTAAAAGTGAAAATAAAACGAGAAATGAAACATCTTTGGAGAACTAGGATGTAGAAAGATAGGAATTACCACATAGTTTACAATAAAGATATCATTTTCTGAAATTATCCTGCTGAATGCAGTAAGTGTATAAAATATTTAATTTCCTAAATTTACTCGGTAGCACTTCACAATACAGTTCCCAAATCAAACAATGACAAATATATCTAAAGCATTTATTAGGCTTAAAGAAAAATGCCTGTTATTATTAATTAATAAATCTGAGCTGACAATGAGCAATTGTGTTTTTATTGTCAAAGAAGAATAATACTGTAACAACTGTTTTGCTCTTTGCTATTTTGCTACACATACAGTAATTGCAAATGGTCGGGATTAAGGTTTATTACAATCTTATGTCAAGTTGTCGCACAACAAACAAACAGTTAAAACAAAGACCATCTGTAGTTACACAATTTCTTCTACAGTAACCTTTTTTAAACTTTCTTTTATATAATTTTAGAACAGAACCAACAAAATCTCACGGCAATTTGTAACTTTTTGATTTAGTGGCTAATTTGTCTGAATTCGTACGATCTAAATCGTACAATTTAGTACGATTTGCTCATGCCTCAATGACGGTTGGGTTTAGGGGTGGGGTTAGGTGCCATGCCTCCTTTTTTTTTAACTCTTTATTTTCATTTTCATTGAAAAAACCTTCATACATTACATACAGTACTGCCTGAGTTTTTACAAAGAAATATACCATCAAAACTCTTTTGGTAGTACTTACAGTGAATTTAACTTACTACAAGAAGGAACGCAAAACCCTACCACCCACCCCACCCATTTAACATTGATCAAAATATTTGTGGAAGGTTCATAAAAATAAAAGGCATATATGCATAACATTTACAATCATATATAGATCTGGCTGGGACAAAAATTTAAAATTGAGGCAAGGCGTACATGGACAATGAAACCAAAAGAGACATTATAAAAAAAATAATAATTATAAAATAAATAATGAAATAAGATAAATAAATAAATTAACATACAACAGTCTTGTAAGTCTATCAGTTCAGTCTATCTGCAAAAATAATATGAATGGTTCCCAAATCTTGTTAAAAATGGACAATTTGTCGTTTAGTATGAATCTCAGTTCTTCTAAGTGTAACATATTTCCAAGTTCTCTAGCCCACATTTCAAAGGTGGGGACAGCATCAGATTTCCACATTTGTAAAATGATTTTTTTTGCAAGACACATACAAAATAGAATTGCTTGTGTTTGGTTTCTACTGCAAGGACTGTACTCTGCTCCTAAAAGTCCAATACTAGGATCCATTTCCAGATTCGTTGAGTACACTTCAGAAAGAAATTTTAATATATTTTTCCAGAATGGTTGTAGTTTACTGCATGACCACAAAGAATGAAACAAAGTTCCTGTTGACACACTGCACTTATTACAACTTGAAGAGATTGTTGGAAATATTTTGTTAAGTTTTGATTTAGAATAATGGAGCCTATGAATGACCTTATATTGGATCAGATGATGTCTTGCGTTCACAGAACATGAATGTACATTTTTCAAGCATTCATCCCATTTGTCATCACAGATGTTAATACCCATTTCGTCTTCCCAGTCATGTCTTATTTTAGCTGAACTGCTGTCCACCTTCCTTAACAGCAACTTGTAAAAGTTAGACACATTACCAATATTTCCAGGGTTTATGTTAACAATTGTATCCAATGTAGGATCTAGACTCTCGATTTCAAAATCTTTAATATGTTTTCTAACAAAATCCCTAACTTGCAGATAACGAAAAAAGTTTGAGGAAGTAAGGTTGTAATTTTGTTTTAGTTGTTCAAATGTTCCCTCTTTGTAAAGATCTTGAATTGTTAAGATGCCCTTATCTTTCCATTTGGAGAAAAAATTGTCATTTAGTCCAGGAGGGAATGCATGATTATTACAAATTGGTGAGTCCAAATACATATCTGGAATTTTTAAGGATGCCTTAATTTGTTTCCATATTTTAATTGAATTGGAAATAATTACATTATTTTTTATATTTTTTGTGTCTATTTTAATTGGGCTGTTAAGCAGGGCTGGTAATGAGGTCATATTACAAGAAGCATCCTCAATAGCTAACCATTCTGGCTTGTCTCTTTGTTCCACCATCAAATCTTTCTCCACCACGACAATAGTTAGATTAGCTGCCCAATAATAATATTTAAAATTAGGAAGACCAAATCCTCCCAGGTCCTTGGGTTTATTTAAATGTTTTTTATTAATTCTAGCAGTCTTATTAGCCCAAATAAATAGGGTTATTATTGATTCTAGCTGTTTAAAATAATGTATGGGAATAAAGAATGGGATAGCTTGAAAAACATACAGAAATCTTGGTAATACAACCATCTTTATAGCATTAATTCTACCTACCATAGACATAGGGAGTGTCTTCCAAAAAGTAATATCGTCATTAAGCTGGTCTATCTTTTTTTTCCAATTTAGTTGTAAAAGTGTTTTAGGCTTTCTGGTGATCATTATTCCCAAATATTTAAAGGAGTTATTGGCTATTTTAAATTTAACTTTTTCTAAAAATTGTCATCAGAAATGGGCATTAATTCACTTTTTTCCCAGTTTATTGTAAAACCAGAAAAACTACCAAATTTATCGATAAGATCAAATAATGGTGGTATAGATTTTTCGGGGTCGGAGATGTATAAAAGTATATCATCAGCATACAATGACAGATGTTGATGTCTGCCTTCAGTCATTATTGGTGTTATACTGAGATGTTGCCTAATACTAGCTGCCAGCGGTTCCATTGATATTGCAAATAAGAAAGGAGACAGGGGACATCCCTGTCGTGTACCACAGCTTAGTTGAAACGTATTTGAGATGTTTTGATTAGTAATAACAGAGGCTACTGGATTTGCATATATTGTTTTAATCCATTTAATAAATTCTGGACCAAAACCAAACTTTGCTAGAGTCGTAAACATATATTTCCATTCCAACTGATCAAAAGCTCGTAGAGCGTCAAGTGAAATTACACATGCTTTAGTATTGTTTTTACTATAAATTATATTGAATAGCCGTCTCAAATTAAAATATATATGTCTTCCTGGTATAAAACCAGTCTGGTCTTGATGTACAATTGAACCTATATATTTTTTCAATCTGTTTGCTAGAATTTTGCTTATAATTTTTGATTCATTTGGAATGAGAGAAATCGGTCGATATGAAGACATTTTTAGCTTATCCCGTACAGGTTTTGGAATTAAGACAATATTTGCTTGATACATTGTAGGTGGGAATTTGCCCTGTTCCTTTGAATTTTTAATCAGGCGATGCATCAATGGTGCAAGATGATTTTTAAATTTTTTATAAAATTCGGCACTAAAGCCATCTGGACCAGCAGATTTATTATTAGGTAGCTGAGATATTACTTCGTTCACTTCCTCTAGTGTAATCTCTTCGTCCAAACTCTGTTTTGCTTCAGAATTAAGAGTTGGTAGGTCTATATTTGACAAAAATTCATCTAACGCTTCTTGATTTGTCCTTTTTTGATTTATATACTTTTTTATAAAAGTCAAAAAAACAATTATTAATTCCTTTAGGATCAACTAGAGCCTCTCCATTTTCTTATTTTATTTTATATATTGCCTGTGCTGCTTGAGAATGTTTCAACTGTCGTGCGAGTAACTTTTGAGGTTTATCACAAATTTCAAACTGTTTTTGTTTTATATGTATGAGTTGTTTTGAAACTTTTTTTGAAAGTATGGAATTATACTCACTTCGCTATTTTTTTGAGAGTAGATTCACAATTGGTTGATCTATATTCCATATTTAATTTTGTTACTTGTGTTTCAATTTTAATCAATTTTGCCTTATTTTGTTTATTTTTAGTTGCTTGATATGACATGATGTCTCCTCTTATTACTGCTTTCATTGTTTCCCAGAGGATCGAATCTGATACATCTTCTTTGTCATTATTTTCCAGGAATGAAATGAATTTATCAGATAGATATTCACAAAATTTGACATCTTTTAATAACATATTATCAAATTTCTAAATACTACTTCCTTTAGATTGATTTATTTTTAAATTGAGAGAGACTGGGGCATGATCAGATATGAGTCTAGTGTGATATTTTGTTGAAGTAACATATTGTAACAATCTTGAATCTATTATGAAAAAATCTATTCTTGAATAAGTTTTGTGAACTGAAGAGTAGAATGAAAAATCTTGATCTGTGGGATGAATAGCTCTCCAGCTGTCTACCAAATTTAACTTTTGCATATAATTATTTAATAAAAGCGATGATTTACTTGTTGTATTTCGTCGGGGTTGCGTATCTAACCTTGCATTTAACATACAATTATAGTCACCTGCCATAATAACTTGTGTATTCAAAAAATCTGGTATTCTTTTAAAGATTTTCTCAAAAAATGAAGGATCATCAAAGTTTGGCCCATAGATATTGACTAAAGTAATGGATAACTAATTTATTTCCCCTATTATTATCAAATATCTGCCATTTATATCTTTAATTGTTTGTTTATGAATAAAGGGAACAGATTTTTTGATAATAATCGCTACTTCTCTGGCTTTGGTAGAAAAATTTGATTGGTAAACTTGAGACATCCATGGAGCTTTAATACTAAACCTTGCAGTAGCTTTAATGTGCGTTTCTTGAAGGAATATTATCTCTGCACCTATCTTTTTGAGATGTGCATAGACTTTACCTCTTTTAATTGGACTGTTAATTCTACGTACATTCCAACTTAACATAGTCAATGTCCCGCCACAGTTAGTATTCATATTGTTCACTGTTTAAAATAAATTGTATTATAATTGACCTTTACAAAAACACTTTTTGTTAATTGAACCTTCCAAATGAAAAATATGGCCTTCCCGTGAACACAAACATAGTGAACCTTAAGAATTAGAACAAGAACAAAATCCCGCCACCGCCCACCCTCCCCCATCCCCCAGTTATTGTATCCCATGCAACCACTATGGATACCATCCCCTTTAAAGTTAACAGCATCTGTCAATTCAATTCCTCGATGCCCTTTGGCATTCTTCCATTGAGATAGTCACCGCATATCTCAAAGTATTACAGAAATGATAATTTGCAGTCTTTTTTTCTTTTCTTTTTGGTCAAATATGTTCGTAGTTGAGCTCGTTCATAATGAATTTATTAACCACTTTCAACAGTTCAGTTCCTTTACCAGTTGTCCACTGTTTGACGTAGAAATCATTCGGCCATCTCGGGTAGATCAAAAGCCTTTGTTTCATTACCTTTGACCATCACGATGAACTTTGACGGAAAACGAAATCCACATCTCACCTCATGCTCCCTGCATTTTTTCCGTATGCTGTCAAACTTTTGTCTTTGTTTCATTCCTTCGGCTGCAAGATCAGGAAAGATATGTATTGTTGTGCCATCGTATTGCAGGGGTTTCGATCTTGCCAAACGTAGAATGGTTTCTTTCATTTGGTAATGATGAACTCGAACAATAAATGCCCGAGGTCTCTCACCTCGCAATGGTTGTGGCGATCGGTGTGCCCTGTCAATTTGCAGTGGCTTTTCAAGGTTCTCTTCACTCAATATCTGCTCCAAAATTTTGGTCACGAACTCTGTAGGTTTCCCCTTGTCCACCCCTTCCTTTATTCCGAAAATTCGGATGTTTCGCCGTCGAGATTGTGATTCTAAATCACATGTCTTTTCTCTAAGTTTTCCACACTCAGTTTCCAGGTGCGCGCATCGTTTCTCCAGCAATTCAATGCGGGTTTCGTGAGTTTTAGCCGCTTCCTCTGTTTCAGCCACCCTGGCAGAGATATTGGCAAGCGACACATTCACCTCAGATAATGCAGATGAAAGAACATCAAATTTTCGGTCAAAGGAGCTGCTCAAATTAGCTATTGCTTCCATAATGTCTGTATTTGTGGCGTCTGTAAAATTAGCCTTGTTGCTAGCGTGACTAGCATCCGTCTGCGATTCGGAAGTATTAGCTGTGTTTTCTTCTTCAGTACACGACTTATCAGTTTTCTTTTGCTTTGCTGGCATGTTTATTACTCCCGAGCGAGGTTTTTAGTATTTTTAAAGACTGCAACGTTTTTACCTATATGAAATTGAGATTAGCGGAGAGCTACTGAAAACACGTCTATTCCATTCACTGCCGGAAGCGCGCCATGCCTCCTTTTTGAAATAGAACATTTTCGTACGACTGAACTTGTACGAATTTGTATGAATTAACCACTGAACTGACAAAACGTAAAATACTTATATTTTCTCATGAGATCAGGCTGAACAGAAACTGTACATAAACACACAAAAAGATCAGCTGAGGTCAACTTCCAAATAAGTTAACATTATGAAACATGTAAATGGCATTGATGATATTCATGTTACACCCATGGCACATTTACACACCCAAGTGCATAAATAATATTCATTTTGCTTTGTTAAGTAATTTTACTTTATATAAAAGACACTTACCTCCGCATTCCAATAAAGCAGCTATAAAAAGATTTAAAAGTCGTAAATATGAAAGCTGAACACTCCCCATCATCTACAAATGCTCACTGCAGGGTAACAGACCTCTATGTGAGCACAGGCCACATCACTGCACTTTCACAGAGTTGCCGAAATGTAAAGTGAAAGGAGGAAGTAAGATCTTGTGCTCATTCCTCCCCGTCAGTGAGACTGTGTATTTCAGCTGCTAATTTGCATCTTTAAACTAATGCATCTATTTAGAAAGATGCTATAATACGATATAGAAGTTGAAAGTATTAAGACAGGAAACACACCATCACATGGATGTCTTTAAGCAGCTCACTGCAGACAAACTAAATATAAACAGAAGCCACAAAGGTTTTTCCTTCTATTTATTTTCAGAAGTAGGAAATGGGATTTTTGCGAAATGTCAAGCGACAAGCAGTTTTGCTCACATTTGAAATCATTGAATCAATTAGCTTCATGTTTATATAGGGATAACATGGCCATACAAATCATTTATTACATTAGTTCATCAGAATGTTTTTTTTTTTTTCCTGAAACCAATAAGTATGTTTAAGACTGTTAAAAGTACTGTATGCATTTTCTTTGGACTACTGCCCCAAATCGATGAAGAACACTTTTCTCTTCATCCAACAATTTCTCTACAGACTAAAGAGTTAAATTCCTGATTGATTCACTGCAAAATTAGTACACTTGTGTTATTAGCAATGATTACTAATGCCAGAAAGAAATGTTCCTTGTAGAACTTTAACAAAAAAATAAAAAAATTTAAAATTTGTTTAATTCTTTGTGCTAAAAATTGTAAAATGTCAGTGGTATTATTTTTTAATTATAATAGATTACTTAAATTTAACAATTGTCATTGCATAAAAGCATTTTTTTACATTAATATGATGTGCAATTTAATAGTCATTTTACAAAACATATCCTATATAACACTAGTAAAGTGAACTAATGATTTTTTAGTAAAGACTACTAATCCAAATTTGATTTGTCTTCTATGTCATGAGAGTAAACTCTTCATTCGTTTCACAGATTACTTTTTATTAAAACGGATCGCATGAAGAACGCACTTCCTCTCAACTCTGTCATTCACTTTCCGGGTTAACCCTTTAGGTTTCCCACATCTTCCCTCTAAACATTGGTTTATGTTTAACAGCATACCCAAATTAAAGTGCAACAATAAAAGCAATGATATTGTTTTTTTTTTTTTTTCATTAACTCAAATCTTAATTCCTTTCTATAACCTGAAACAGTCCATTTAGTCTAAGTAACATTTGGGCGTTTTCACCACCCTTCCACTGGAAGTCGTAACTGGTGGTTTAGTGTCCAGTAAAGGTGTTGCTGGGTCAACTGTGTGAGTATTTGAATGTTCAGTCCCAGACAGAGCTGGTTCTTTTTCTTCCTGCAATTCTGCTTGGATTGTAGCATCTGGTTGCGATGGCATTGCTTGCAAATGCTTCCTGTTTCTACGCAGGACAGCTCCTTTTAAAGTTTGCACCAAGTACGATCTTGGTTCTGATGTTTTGTTTAGCACAACCACTGGTGTTTTCCAGTGCTTTTCACTGTCCAGCTTAAGAAGAACCTTCTCACCAGGATGTAACTCGGGTAGTGTGCGAGCAGAGTGTCTCCGGTCATAATAGAACTTGTAAGACTCCTTTGCAGCTTTATCTTTCTTCTCCACTGCTTTAAGATCATTGGGTTGAGGTTGATATTTTTCCTCAAGCATTGGCAGTTTGGTTCTAATCTGCCATCCAGTCATTAATTGTGCAGGGCTAAGTTCAGTTGCAACGACCGGAGTCGCACAGTAACACATCAATGCCAGGTGAGGATCAGGTTGGCAGAGAATCCGTTTTGCAGTTTGAACTGCTCTCTCTGCAGCCCCATTGGCTTGGGGAAAATGAGGACTTGAAGTTGTATGATGGAAATCATAGTCTGTACAAAACTGTCTAAATTCAGCTGAGGCAAACTGTGGGCCATTGTCAGATACAAGCTTCCTGGGAATACCCCATCTCACAAACATGCACTACAGTCTGCTGATAACATTGAAGCTGGATGGTGTTTGCAGGTGAGCTATTTCAATGTCACGTGAGTGGTAGTCTACAACTACTAAGTACGTTTTCCCATTCAACTCACATAAATCTGCAGCAATCTTACACCAGGGACCAGTAGGCAGGGGTGTAGTGATCAGGGGTTCTTTTCTTTGTGTGGGTTTATGAGCCCTACAAAATGTGCACCCTGAAACAATCCTGGTGATGTCATTGCCAAGTCCTGGCCACCAAACTGACATCTTTGCCCTCTGGCGACACTTTGCGAGCCCCTGATGTGTTTCATGAATTCGGCTTAACACTTCCTCCCTCATCGACACAGGAACGACAATTCTGTCCTCATACAAGACTAACCCATTGACAAAAGACAATGAAGCCCTGGCTGTATGATAATGACTCAAGGGGAAGGGTATGTGCTTTGGCCAACCCATGCTGAGAAAACCTATCACTGCCTGGAGATCTGCATCTAACTCTGTAGCCTTCCTAATGGAATCGAGCTTAGATTGTGACACCTCTTTAGATGCAACATATGCCTTCACCTCATCTTCCATCTCTGAGGGGAAGTGCCCACTCAAAGGTTTCCGAGAAAGCGTGTCCGCCACCACCAAACATTTACCTGGAACATGGACTGCCTTTGCATTGAAGCGCATTAGTCGCATTAGCAAACGCTGACATCTTAACGGAGCACGATCAATATCATACGAATTTATTAGTGGAACTAGCGGTTTATGATCTGTCTGCAGGCAAAATTCTTCCAATCCTTGAAGGTAACGAGCAAAACGCTCGCAGGCCCACACTCCCGCCAAGCACTCCTTTTCAATTTGTGAGTACCTGCTTCACCTCTGCTTCAGTCAAAGTTCTTGAGCAGAATGCGACTGCTCTGTCACAGTACCATGAACTTGAAGCAGAGCAGCTCCCAACCCAAAACTGCTCCCATCAGCACTAACCATTGTGGGTTTTTCAGGGTCATAATATGCCAGAGTAGGAGCTGTGGCCAACATGGATTTTACCTTACTCAGAGCCTGCTCCTGGACCTCGGACCAAATCCAGACTGCATCTTTCTTCAGCAGAGCTGTAACTGGTTGCAGCACTGTTGAAAGCCCAGGCACAAATTTGCCTAAATAATTGATCATTCCTAAAATTTGCCTTAGCTCAGTCACATTAGTGGGACTAGGCATCTCAGTAATCGCTGTTACCATGGTTGCGTCCGGCTTGAACCGTTCTGACTGATGGTGTGCCCAAAATACCGTAGCTCAGGTTTGTTGAAGTGACATTTATCATGATTTAATTTCAGACCTGACTCTCTGATAGTTTTCAAAACAGCCCCAAGATTCTCGTCGTGCTCATTTTGATCTTTACCCCAGACTAGTATGTCATCCATGACAACTACCATGCCTTTGTGCCCAATTAGGAGTTTGCTCATTTCCTTTTGGAAAATCTCAGGGGCCGAAGTGACCCCAAACGGCAATCTATTAAAACAAAACCGCCTGATTGAGCCATTGCAGGTCTACACAAATATTAACTGAACTATTCTTTTTCACTACAAGCACCATTGGGGCACACCATTCGGTCGGTTCAGTGACTTCGGAAATGATCCCCAAGGACTGCATACGTTCGAGCTCTTTTTCGACTTTAGGCAATAGAGGAAAGGGAATTCTTCGAGGGGTGGACAGACTATAGGGAGTAACATCTGACTTTAGCTAAATTTTTACTGGTCCACAATTAAGCAACCCAATGTCTCCATAGACATCACTGTGGTCTGTAATTTCATCCACTCTCTGTACTAGATCCATCCTACAGGCAGTGCTACGACTAAGAAAATTGTTGGCAAATGGCCCATCAATTACAAAAACCCAAAATTCTAATTTTTCCCTTTTCTTTTAGTGTTTGCTAGAAATTTCCCCATGCAATTCACTTTTCCCACTGGGCTTCTCACATTTATACTTGTTTTAACCAGCGGGGGGGCGCTCTTGTAAGCTTTCAAACACTGAGCTCGACATGATGCTGATGTCGGCTCCGGTATCAATTTTAAATTGGACCGACCTGCCTTGAATAGGCAGAGTAGCACACCACCTGTCTTCTGCAGCTGACTCATTCATTACAGAGCCCAGGAAAAATGAATCGCCAGTTTCACTATCACACACTACAAGCTCTTTGACATTTTTAGTTTTACATGCAATTGCAAAATGTCCCAGCTTATTGCATCTTCTACACCTCTTGTTTCGTGCAGGGCAATTATTCTCATTGTGTGTGTGATTACAGCGTGTGCAGTCCACAATCGGTTTTCTCTCTACACCTTTTTCCTTTTTCGGTGGCCCCAAAAAACGCTTTGAACTTTTGTAATGTCCGTGCTGTACGGCGCTCACATCAGCGGCTGCTCCACCAATCGCATTTTGCATCTTAATAAGCTCCGACTGCTGGGCGATCTGGACCGCTTTATCCAACGTTAGTTCGGGTTCCATTTGTAACTTCTGAGAATTGTCACGATCTGCAATCCCTATGACAACTCTGTCTCGTATTTGTTCAACTTTGCTCGCGCCAAACTCACAGTATTCAGCCAGTTCATAAAGACACCTGACAAAAGCTTCAACAGTCTCTCCCGATCTCTGTGTGCGCTGATGAAAACAGGCTCTCTCATGAATAACATTCCTCCTGGGCACAAAATGTTCATCAAATTTGCCGACTACAGTCTCGTAATTATTTGCATCTGAAGCTTCGGCAAACGTGAACGATCCGAATATCGTTTCGGCATCCATGCCCATTGCATACAACAGAGAGTTAACTTGTACTTCACTGTCTTCCTTGTTCAGTTTCGTCGCGATGTGGAACCGGGAGAACTGCTGGATCCATGCGGGCCAGGTTGCAGGCTGCGCGAAATCAAAGGCTTCTGATGGGTTGAACTTAGACATTGTCAGTTCCTAAACTGGGCGAGCTTGCTCGTGGGTATAACGTACGATTCTGACACTATGTCATGAGAGTAAACTCTTCATTCGTTTCACAGATTACTTTTTATTAAACAGATTGCATGAACAACGCACTTCCTCTCAACTTTGTCATTAACTTTCCGGGTTAACCC